CTCTCTCTCTCTCTCTCTCTCTCTCTCTCTCTTACACGTCTCTCGCCTCATCCATCTTCGATAATGTGCATAATTAGATTCCAAAAAAAAACACACGGAACACAAAGAACGAAATGGGAACAGACCACACCACACGATTGAGCTCATAAGAACGGAGAAACCCTCAACCGCACCCCACTTCTCTTAGCCTCATAGCCAACTCGAAACATCAACATCAGCGGAAACACCCGAGTGCCCTATTATTCATCTCCACCATGACGACTCGCATTTCCACCATCTTTCGTCTCCGTTGGACGCTTCACACGCAGTAACGGAGGGAGTTACAAATTTATGTAAACACACCCCTAGACAATCGTGCGATCCAACCACCAACATCCATGCACACAATTGATTGTGCAAGTGGACATGGAGAGCCACATATTCTCAAAAAAAAACAATATATACAGAGACTTACCAGACAAGACAAAAACAGCAAAAGCAACTAAAGTAAAAAAAAAGAGCTACAACACTACAAGAACTCTTTTGCCGCCACAATGGTCCCAAACGCGCCACCAACAACCCCGAAGCTCAACATCAGCAACATCAACGGACGCTCCCAATACTTTGAATAGGGCAAAATACCGGTTTTGTGTAGCCGGAGGCGGTAGAGTGCGGGGTAGGTGAAGCACAAACTGCTACTACACACGGCACCCAACAACGCTACCACTGAAACGACACCTGGTACCGCGAGTGCAACTGTGATGCATGCAACTGAAAGAGAGACGCTAACTATAAGTTGATCACGCATGGGGATACTGTGTTGACATGCATCGTACTCCCTCACACCCCCGTCCATGATGTACCCTCTATCTACTGCCTCTGTGGCAGAGCTGTAACCGTACCACATCAGAAAAATAGCGTCGCGTGTGGGAAACAGGATAATCACAAACGCCAGATTCACCGGAATCACATACACAGCGTAGCCCACCGCAAACAAGGGATCCGTTCTGGGATCAAAGTTGCTCATGACATTCTCACGAACATCGGCTGGGTGGCCAAGGTAACCAAACATGCCCACCGCAGCATGAATTATGGCAGAAAGAATGAGACTAATGATAGAGACACGCATCATATTCCGCCGGCTCATCACCTCCAAATTGGAATAAACCTGAAACACAAGTGATTGACAATCAAACGAAAACATCATGATGGGCAGCGCTAGTAATGGATGTTTACCGGAAAACCACATAACCCTATCAGAGGCACCTTTGCCTGAATAAGGCGACCTCACACTGTCGGCGCCGCCACTATCACCTCCGTTGGGTACAAAATATCGTAGCACTACGAGAGACGATATAAAACACGTCGCAGCAATAGCCAGAAATGACGCACTGCGCAAGAAAGAAATGGATGGCACGCATGAAACGGGTAAAATAACGAAGAACCAGTAAACAATAATCGAATGTTTCGTTGTGAGAAGCCAAGGAAAGTAACGCGATATGGTGGGCTGGAGCGGCTCAATGAGTTCCCCAAGAATCACTAAATAGCTGATAGCAGAGCCGGTGTTATAAACAAGCAACATCCACCGCACAAATTCCTCATTAAACCTGCCGAGCAGCTCCCGATTGATCTGCTCGTACGAGTTCACCCCCAGCTTGTCAATGCAGAGCACCATGTAATCAATGGAGAAAACTGTGAGAAGAGCAACAAAAATCAGCAAAACCAGCGCAAGCACTACACCAGCGTCTGAAAAGGCAGATGGAAGTGTGAGGATGCCAGCGCCAATCGTCGTTACGGCGAGAATAAGCGCACTACCAAGCACCCCGTCCCGACCCATTATTATTATTATTAAACAAAAAACACACACACAAAATGTAATGTGCGTAAGCTTGCTTAGTTTTTATGTTTTTTTTTTTTAATTCGATCTTGACTTGTTAAAACAAGGAAACCTACAACGCCCACACCGTTCCACAGAAATGTATACAGGAGGAACCAGGCGGCCTGGTTGACGATGCCCTTGATAGAAGGAAAAAAATAAGGAGGAGAAAGGAAGACGACAACGACAGCCGTAGCTAACCAAGGCGTGAATCTTGCTTCACTCAACCTACAGAAGACAGTAAGACGAGAGCGCGTACAGCGGCTACAGACGTGGGTGAAAATAACTGCCTCGTGTATGTGAGCTTGGTTAACAACCCACACCCTTCCTGCGTTCATTGGCTGTACGAGACAAGGCAAATGAGACTGATACAATAATAATAAATAATGATAATAATAAATGAATAAACGTCGTCAACACGGCAACGAAACAAAACCGGAAAAAAAATGCATATATTTGTCTCACAGCATGAACAACCAGAAACTGCGGTTCATACATGATGAAAAGGGCATTCCCGTGACAGAAACACAAACAAACAC